CTCCTCATAAAAAATTAATTAATTGATATATAGATAGAATCGAAAAGGATTTTGTTAAGAATATATGCATTCATTAGCATCCGATCATATATGGAATTGAATTTAGGATTTGTTAAAGAAGTTGGCAATGTTGCAAAGGCACAAGTATAAGGTCTAAAATCATAGTTTGAGCAATACCTGTGGAAGTCATGTGGGTGGAGAAACTAATGAGCCTTGGAGTGAGGTTGTTAAGTCTAGATAAGTTTCTTGCACAATTACTGTAGCATATTTAGGTGTAGAACTTTCTTCAACAATACCTTCAATTCTCTGTACAATGAAAAAAGATGTGAAACTTTGTAGTCATATATATAAAGTAATTGAATTTATTAGCAGAGCTATTATTACCTTTTTCTCTGCTACGTTAGTGCCATCATCAGAACTCTATTCTTTGAACTCTTCAACACTCTGTAGGAAATAGAAAATTAATTAAGAGTTGTTTATAGCATCGTGTGTTAAGCTTTATTTGAGTATAAAGTAACTGAACCATTAGTAGAGCTGCCATTTCCTTTTGTTCTACCAAGTTTGAGACATCATCAGAACTTTGTTTTTCAGACTCTTCAATGCTTTAAAGGAAGGATAAAATTAATAAGGTGTTATTTATAGCTGCAAGTGCTAAGCTTTACTTGAGTGAAAAGCAATTGAAGCAGAGTTGCAATTACCTTTTGCTCTGTTATGTTTGTATCATCATCAGCACTACATTGTTCTTTGGGCTCTTCAAAACCTTGTAGGAAATAGAAAATTAATAAGGTGTTATTTTTTATTTAGCATCACGTAATTAAGCTTCACTGGAGTTCCCCAGAGAGTTACATTAGCTATAAATTCTCTACATAGACACAGATATACCTATTTCAAAGTTGGTGAAGCAACAGAGGTCAATTCTTGCTCATTGTCTTCAACATCCATTCCTAGTGTTTCCAACAATCTTTTATACCATAACGAACTAAAACCTCTATAATCTATATGATTTATAATGACATTACATGACTTAATAATCGTATCAACAATAATTCCTCCCAAACACTCACAGACATTATTAATTATATAGTTAAGTATTGGAATAATAAAAAATACGACTTACCACACGTTTCTCAAATAAAATTTTGCTGACAATCACATAGTTCAACTATTTTCATGTGGCTATCATCAAAACAATTTATTTTTATTGATAAGTTATGTTTGATGTGCTTTAATAATGAAAATATATTCTCACAAGCTATGATAATTAATTAGTAGTTATTAGTAATTACAAAACCTGAATTATATGCTTTAATAATTGACACTTCAATCTTAGAAATTCGGACAAAAAACCATGCACAACAAAGTGATGAGATAATATAAGAACTTTTTAAGTGTGGTCAAGTTGTAACTAGTAAAAGTGATATGTTGTTTCCATATGCTTTTTTTGGAAATTTTTTTTACTACTTGCATCCTTAATGCACAAGTGAAGAGAGAGAAGTATAAAACTGGATTTAGACAGAGGCGTTTTCCCTCAGCATTCCAATCTCAACCCTTCAATAAAATCCAATGTTCCATATTTTGACACATCATCCCATTTAGAAATAATTTTATTTTAAAAATAATTCTTTTATTAAAATTTTTATTTAATTTTCTATATTCAAAACTTGTTCTAAAAAATTATCTTGCAAATTTTTGCAAAGAGACTTATTTAATAAAAATCTGTTTAAAAAAATCTATAAAATAAATCAAACTACAAGTAGGTGCAGTTTGGCTTATTCAAACTCTGACCTGATCTATTTAATATGTTTAAAAAAATTTAGAACATAAGTCAGAATATAAGTAGGTACTTATCATCTGGCTAATTCAAATTCTGACATAATTTATTTAACAAAAATTTATTTTAAAATATCTAAAGAGAAACTTTTTAGGACAAGTTGAAAGAATTATTCTTACAATAAAATTATTTCTACATGGGATGATGTGAAAAAGTATGAGACATTAAATATTTATTGAAGGGCTGAGATTGAGATACTAAGAGATGTTGAGAGAAAATGCCTCTAAAAGGATCTGGATCCACAAAAATAAGCTAACTATTATATAAAGGGGGAAAAAAACACTAAACTAACAACCCTATATTTCTTTACCATGGATCTTGAAATACTCCTCATTTATGTTTATAGTAAATCGCCAAATCCTTCGTCTCCCATTAGTTTTTTTTTTAATAAAATGACCGATATATATTTTTGAAATTAAAGAAATAAATATATAAATTTAAAATATCATTAAATATATACTTTTCTTATATGAGTATGTGTATATATATACATATCATTGAAACACTTTAAGTAAGATGAAAACTTGATATTGATGACAGAGTGGAAGCAATAATCATAATGATAAGAAACACACACACACACACACACACAACCATCACACAAGCACAAATAATATTGAGTACCTGAACTATTTTCTAATATTTGTAGCAAAGCTTGAGGAGCTATAGTGGGAGTGAGAGTAGTGGAGATTTGGGGACACTGATCTATAACAAGATATCTCACACTTTGGAGATTATGAATGTCAAGGATGTGTGCAGTGAGTTTTAGCAGTTGAAGAAGTATGGCAACCTTTAAGTTGGGAATGAGAGTTTCTTTTATAGGCATTGTCTTTGCTACTTCATCTCCCAATACTCTCTCTAGCCCTGATACTTTAGCTATCATAATTACTTTTAGTTTGGGGAGCATACCACATGCTAGAATAGGGAATACACGTTTCAATTTATGACAATCATGGATGAAGATTGTGGTGAGACTTGGGAAGCCAACAGGTTGTTGAGGATTGAGTACATTTTGATTTTCTTTGACGATTGCCTCTAATTCCTTATAGGAATTTATGCTGATACTTTCCAAATATGGGAGCACATGACATGTAGACACAGGGAATACACATTTCAACTTATCACAATCTCCAATATAGATTGTGGTTAGATTTGGGAAGACAGCAGGTTGGTGAGGATTTAGCACATTTTGATTTTCTTCTTCTTCATCATCTCCAATTATTTCTTCCAAATCCTTACATTCCCAAATGCTAAGCATTCTCAATTGTGGTAGGCTTCTCGACATGGATGTGGGGAATATAACTCTCAAATTGTTACAACTCCAAATACATAAATAATCAACATGTTGAAGGAGTAAGAAATTTTGGGACCCCTCCATATATCCCTCAACTTTGGTAGATCCCTCAATTGAAGCTGTTGTAAGCTATAGTTCACTTGTTGTGCATTGTTAGGAATCCCATCCACATTAAAAATGACTTCTATTTCAATATTAGTTACATGAAGTGATTGTAATGTTTGCAGTGAGGACACTGCTACAACAACTCCTACAAGTACAAAAGAATATGAACCCATAAGTTACATAATGACATTGAACAACAATCAGCATAATTAATTACATATGTTCCACAAATATATAAAAGCAAGAAAGTAAGTATGCCATGTTGTTCTCTCTACCACGTGTACTTTACCAATCACCCTCTTCTTCATTTCTCATTGTAGATACTTTAAAATTCAATCAACATCAACATCCATAAATTAAATTCATTTCATTTAGGAGTCCAAATGGAAATTTTAATTAGAAATTAATATGTTCTCCTTTATTACATGAACTATTGACGTTCTAATAGATTAAACATAGAGGACACAAATTTTTCTTCATTAAACTGCAACAAACGTTAAACTATATTGATAAACCAATAGATGTTGAACCATTTTTGAATATTTAAAATAATCATGTATAATTAAAAAATAATACAATAAAATAAAATGAACAATATCATATTAGAAGACATCATACCTCTAATGCTATCTGATCATGCATTTGACTTAATCCGTATCCATTAATCCAATGATTCATGGACATGGAATTTAATTGATTGCAATTATCCAACCACATATCTGTCAAAGATGGGCATGTTGGATGATAATTTTTTAGACAAATGCTAATGATACTTGACAAGGCTCGTAAAGTTAGGTTTCTCAAAGACGAAAATTGGATGATTTGGAATTCATTTTGGTTTGGATCTTCATAAATGGATGGGCCAAACACACTTTTTAATTTAGGAGCATTCATTATTTGTAGATCTTCCAATTTTGCAAGGCTTTGAGCACAAGAGACGGGCATTAAGTATTCTAGTTGAGGACACCCATTTATGGCTAGTTCTTTCAAATTTGGGAATGCAGATCCATAGCTGCTTTGATTTCCACTATCATATGCAACTATCTCCCCCCTTTCTTCTTCTAATATATGATCAAGTGAATCACAATTTTTTATCTTTAGTACTTCTAATTTTGCAAAAAAGCTTAAAGGAAGCTGACCAACACACAAGGACTTCAAATGCTTCATCCCTTCTATTGTTAGATGAGTCAATTTGGAGATAATTCCAACTTCACCTAAATGATTTGTAAGGTCTATCATGTACTTTATCTCCTCCGAGAAAAGGACTGAAAGTTTAGCCAAAGCATTCATATCCCCTCCTATTGTTTCAAACACATTAGGGAATATATATTTACAACTTGTGATTCTCCTTATGAAAAGAACCTCTGCTCTTTGCATCATATCCTTAATTGTTACATTTGACACACAAGTTTCAAAATCATCAACATGTAGACTTTTTGCAATAGAAAACTTTTGTTGATAGAAAATATTGCTTCCAAAATCTATACAATAACTATCTAATTTTGGTGTAAATTTATTGAAGAAATCACCAATATTCTTACCTTGGTCTAGCCAAACTCCTTTATTTTCACAAAAATACAATACTTCCAATTGGGAACACATTCCGATCACATCATAAGTATTCTTTTGAATTTTACACTTCCAAATATCTAATAATCTCATGTTCTCTTGTTCTACAATGCATTTAGGCAATTCATTGAAAGAACAATTCCATAATGCAAGAGACTTAAGTCTGTTGAGGCTTTCAATGAAAGAGATGTCTTCTAACAACCAATTGTCCAAGAATAGGCAACTAAGATTATTTATCAAATGGACTGACTTTGAGAATTGTAGGATTTTTGTTTTTTGATTCCATGAAAATACTTTACATTCAAAAATCAAAACTCAAAGCTTCTCCTTATATTTGAGAAAAACATTTGTTAGTTCAATAGCATAGTTTTTTTTATGCATATACAAGGAAACTCAAGTTTAGGGCAATCTAACTTATGAGAAAATGACTCCATGTCATCAAACCATAAATATCTTACACTATCATCCTTCAATACTTTTTTTCTTTTATTTTCCCTATTAATCAATCTAATCTCCTTCTTTGAAATCCATAAGGCTACATCATGAACCAAATCATGCATTTTGACATGACTATTTCCATCATCAACTTTTAGCAACAAACAAGAATCTATGAGCCTATCTCTGCCTTTAATGATCACTTGGTTTCTTGTCCTTTGATAAGAGTCAACTTCTTCCAATACAAGACCAAGCCCTACTCTGAACTTGGTTAATTTCTCTATTAGAATTGCATAATCTTCAGGAAATACAGAGCACAATAAGAAGATTGACGTGGCTACTTCATCTTTTAGATTTTCATAACTGAACTGAAGACATGAGTAAGGATTTCTTAATCCCTCATCATCAAAATCAAGAAGGATTGAATCTTTTAGTGTTCTTGATGCTTCCTCCCACTCATATTAAGGTTTTCCTTTAAAGTGCTGGCTACAACAGTAATAGCAACAGGTAAACCACCATATTCTTTTGTAATTTCTTGTGCCAATCTCTTTAAGGGACTAGTAGTGTCACCATCAAATGTCCTTGAATACATTTGAAAGAGCTTCCATGCTTCAACCTCTTCTAATTCCTTTAAGGGAATTCTTGTTTTGCAATTCATCAATCTACATACTTGAACTTTTTGAGTAGTTATAAGTACAGTGCAATAACTTTTTTTTTATCTTCTACAAGAGGAATCCCTATGGCCTCAAAATCAAGCTTCTTCCATACATCATCTAGAATAATCAGGAACATTTCCCCACTCCCTAATCTCATGGATAATCGCTTGGCCCTCTCTTGTTGGCTTGCTATATTTTCTTGAATTCAAGATTAGTAAGTTGGCTTGCTATATTTTCTTGAATTCTTTTGACTTCAAAGATATTAGACACAACAACAAAGATAACTTTATTGAAAAACTTTTCTACTTCTTTCCCCACTTCTTTAACCAAGGTCGTTTTCCCACATCCCCCCATACCATACAATCCAATCAAGTTCACATGCTTATCTTTAAGTGCCTCCAAAAGTTCATCATATGCCGCCTGTCTGCTCTCAAAGGGTACAAAACTTTCAAAAGAATAATATCTCATGCCATCAAGTGGGTCAAATCGAGAAAATTCTAGTAATGCAATATTGCAATGCCCTTTAATTTCATTGATCTTCCCTTCAAGTTGTTTAGCAAGAGTGTAATGCTTGATCAGATTAGGAAAATACTTAAAACAAGATGTCTTGTTTTTGTTCTTTATCTTTATTTCTAGTTGCACCGCTTTTGCCACCAAAGAGTCCGCTTCACACAGCCATTTCTCAACTTCTTTAACAACACTCCTTGTATGCTTCTTATCCTCTTTAACTCGTTGAAGAACATCTCCTATTTTGGATTGCAACTTTGTTTTCTTTGTTTCAAGCTCTTTGACGTACTTGTTGAAGTAGCAAGAATAAGAAGCTTCATGTATTGTTGCATCCACTAACTTGCTCAAAATATCATTTACGATAGAGACAATGATGTCCATGTCCTCTACAAGTGCAATAATGTAGCTATAATTTGAGAGATAATATAATCATAATTTTGAATGCTATAAAAGTAATTATTGATATTAGACGGAGGTAAAATGATAATTAAGGACTCATATTATCAATACTTAAAGACTTTGAAAATCAAATTCATCTTACGATTTTTTTTTTTAAAACAAAAAATCCTTGGTGACAATAGAAATAACTTCCTTGCAAACAAAAAAAAAAAGACCAAAAAAGAAATGAAAAAAGAACATTTCTAAATTCACATGGACAAATTTATGTTGTAAATTAAGAAAGTATTTGATAACTTAAAAAATCAATATATATCAATTTAGCTATATAATTTATAAAAAAAAATTTAATTCTTAATCCTTTGCATTCAGTTCTAAACTTATGAGTCTTTAAAATTTTTCAATTATTTTTTTGGGTAATTTAGCACTTTTTATCAAAAAAAGGAAATGTTAAAAAACTACAAATAGATTAAATTTAATATTTTTTTAAAAAAATAATATTGAAATAAATGCTTTAAAATTTTCCTCAGAATATCTTCTTAAATATTTTGTTCAAAAACATAAATAGAAAATTTAGTAAGAAAATAGATAATTCGAAGAAGGTCAGGTATAATTGATACTTGAGAAAAAGGCATGTTGCTGCACACACAAGAACACAAACTTTTCAAGCGGAAAGAAGGACAGGAGTCATAATATATTGCTGCATCCACAACTTGCTAACAATATAGAACCCATAATTCTCCATTAAAAGCAACTCAACCAATGATAAGAAAATTAAATAATATTAATAAAAAATAAATATTTTATTTTTAATTAAAATAATATGACCTTACTTTAGATTAAAAAAATAAAAGGGTTCGACCTAATTAAATATAGAAAAAAATATTTTGAAACAAAATTGATTTTGATTTATCAATATATATTAATAAATATATTTCGATTGAAAATAAAACATGAAGATGATCGAAAATCTAAGACATCCAAATTAACTCTAAAGTATTCAAATATAATTGAAACATCTACTGGTTCATCCTTGAAATTGATAAAGAATCTAGATTAAAAGGTGCTAAGACATTTTTCTTCTTTATACCAAAAAGTATCAATGGTTATTATGTAGAAATATTAGGACTGTATTATAATAAAAATATATGCAAATTACCCTGCCCATAAACTTTTAAAAAATTTCTCAGTTGAGAAAAAAGTTGATTATTTTAGAAAAATACGGATAGTTAATTAATGATAGGAAGTTGTTTGCATAAATGAAAAAAAAATTAAAGAATATAATTATCAAAAAGTTGTAAAGGTAATGGAAGTTATTTGTACATATCAAACGTTTAAGGATCATGTCCATGTAAAGCAACTCAACCTGTGCATATGAGAAAATTACAATTCGTTGGCCAAAGGGGGAAAAAAAGAGAGAAAATTATAATTCAAATACGGGTAAAAATGAACATTTAGTATGATGAAATAAAAGCAATATTGTAACTATCACTGTTATAATAATAATAGTTTAATTTAAAATTAAAAATAATGAAAATTTAACATATAAACCATCTAAATTAACTCAACTATTAAAATTTATGTTAAACATCAATATATTGGTTCATCTCTGAACTTAATAAGAAATCTAGATTTAAAAGGCGAAAGCCATTTTTCTTGTTTATAACATGCAGCAAAAAAATCATCCATGCATATATTGCAGAAAAATTAGCAATGAGTGATAATAAAGAATATGCAAATGATGACACTGCCCATAAACTTTTAAAGAGTTTATCGCGTAAGGAAAGAGTTGATTACTTATTAAAAAAATGTTACATGAAAATAAATAATGTAAAAATTGAGTTTCAAACAATTATTAAACATAACATAAAAAAACTAATAGCAAACAAAAAGGTTGATTCCACAAACTTTTGAGTTAATTTGGAACATTTTGAATATTTTGTGCAATTTAAGGGTGTAAGTAATAAATTTTTTAAAAAACATTTATATTTTTTTTCAATTAATTATCTAAAAAATATACTAACCTTCTTAGTATATCTGGCCTCCTTAACTATTATATCCTTAAGCCAAAATTATCAATAATAGAGTGAAAAAAAAATAAAAATTGAGAAAATGAGAAAATATCAATCAAATTAAAGAATTAATCAAAGTAAAATGAGAAAGTATCTATCGCTACATGAATGATGAAAAACAACAAGAAAAGAAATATAAAAGTAATGTTGACCCTACACATGCTATGCCCATCCTATATTTAAAATCCTTCTAAGTTTAAAACATGCCAAGTGTCATGTTAAAATGTTCTATTTGTAGTTCAAAATTATATATGTAATTGTATAAGAATGACTGTGAACACCAAGGGGGAAAAAAGAATAAACCTTGAATATTGTTGAAGATCAAGAAACATGGATAAAAGCATATCCAACAAAAGTTGATTAAAAGTTAAAAAACATGTATACTAAATAAAAATAATTAAAGGTTGAAGTTTATGGGAATGGAGCTAATAAAGAACATAACAAGAAGATCAAAAGCTAACCTGTCTTCAGCTTTTTTGGAATCCAAAGTAAGCAATCTATGTGCATGCAACAACAATCAAAGAAGGCCAATTTCAGTTATATCTTGCAATTTGAGAGATTTCACATTTGGCTTGAAGTTGAAGTCTTTTTTTCAATAAGAAAGAGCATTCAGAACATTTAATTTTAAAACGAATAGTTATAATTATCTACTCTTAGTAATTTTCAATAAACTTGCTTACCGTTTATTCAGAACCTATACTATATTTTGTGGTTTAAGCTTCCTACATATAGATTCAGAATACACAGCTTGTCTTATGGTTTGAAGGGAAAATGTTAGGCCTTAAACTTGTAAATTAAAATGATAGGTAAATATAAAACGAATTTTTTAAGTCACAAAAGAAACGAAGGGAATATGTTTTTATAAAAAGAAGGCTAAAATATATAAAACTTCTATAAATTTTGAGACAATTGCAAAAAACCCTTTCACCTTTACCTTTAAAAGTTTAAAATTAACTTTTTTATCCTTTTGTTTTTTATTTTTTTTTACCACAAATTTCTCTACTGTTATTTCTTAGTTATCTTACCAACAAAAGTTACCAAGATATCTCAAGAAAAGACACGCAGTTGCTTATGTATCCAATGCAAACTAATAATATAGTTTTACAAAAATTTTATCCAAATTTTTCTCTTATTATAACATTTAAATTTCTTTTTTACTTAATTTTCTAAGCACTGGGCATTCCCTTCCAAAAAATTATCTAAAAAAACATAGAAACAACGTACAGATCCAATTTTTGGATGAAGTACTTGAATCTAGGATCTTCAATTGAATATGCATTATGAAATAAATTATTGAAATTCAATGTGGGGAGTTTGATTTTTTAAGATAATATTTTTGCTGGAAAAAGTGGAAAGTAAAAATAATATGTTCACTATATAAAATTCAAAACTATTTTAAAAAGTTAAAAGTAAAAAATATTAAGCATCTAATAAATCAAATTTAGATACAGCCTTAATTTTGTAATTTACTCAATTGAGGAGATCCAAATAAATGAAAATAGTATTCTAACAATTACTTATTAGTTATCGCCACTTAACAATGAAATCTATGAAATCAATTTACATTTGGTGCGTACGTAGCGTGTGAAATTGATACAGATTTATTATAAGTATTAAATAAATTATGGAAAATTAAATGTATGCCGATTTTGTATATGAATCGTAAGCTTAACTTGAGTGTGTGAATAATCTCCCTGGCTTTTAAAATTTGACAAAAAATCCTCCTAAACTACAAAAGTACATCTTTATGTAATTTGACAAAACTTTGTAAATCTAGAGGACTTTGGAGGGATTTATTAATTATTTACTCTCAAAAACAAAAAAAATGATTAATCTCTTAAATATCTGAATAAATAATACTCCTAATCTTATAAAAAAACAAAAGAAATAACTTTCTTGTAAAAAAAAAAATTCATAAGGTCACATGAATATTTTGTTGTAACTTATAACTCAACTAATTTTTCCTTTATGGAGAAACATAAAACATTAAAGAGAAAGAAAAAAATAAGAAAACATCAATTGTCAATAAAAGTTTAGTCTAGTTAATAAAAATTTGATTCAAAACCTAACAGGTCATAAACTCAAATCCCGTTATTAATATGAAGATCTTGTTGATAGATGATATGTATATAAGCATTTTTCTAAAACTCTATGCTACAAGTTCTTCAGAAACATATCATATTACGATGCTAAAAAGATATCAAAAACTGAGAAACAGGGCAACACCACCAAACAGAAGCTAACCTGGTTTAAGCGGTCTCCTCCAAAACAAGCTTTTTCACTACGTATGCACCTAATGAACAAAACGCAAGATACAGAGTTTAAGAGTAGTGAATGATTGAATTGAAGAAGCAAAGACAAAAACCAAACACAAGTTTGCCTTTGGTTTATAAGAAAACTTTATCAAATATGCATTTGGCATAGAAGCTGCAAAAGAACTCAGTAATCTCTCACACTTTCAGAGAAAAGCAGATATATCTCAGGCTTTATATATATATGTATATATATATATCACAGACTTTAATTAGTTGTGATAATATTTGATGTACAATTATTGTATTCAAAAGAAAATAAGGGTTGTTTGAAACTATTTTTATTTTATTATTTTAAGAACTGGTATTTTATAAAATATATTTTGAAAACACAAAAATAATAAATATATATATTTTTCTCATTATCTCTTGCTCTCCAGAATAATAATTTCAGAACACATAAAATTTTTTTTTATTTTTCTATTCTTCAAAACAATATTTTATTTTTTATTTTTTAAAAATACATTACTAAATAAATTTTTTATTCTCTTGTTTTGAATAATAAAAAAAAACTGTTTCAGAACATATTTTCAATCATGTCCTAATTCACTAGAATAGCCACAGCCTTGGGCCAATGCTTTATTGGCTTCCCGCATCATCCTTATCATTTTCCCGCGCACTTTAGCTTTTATACCCACTTCTTCCGTCTTTTCTTTCTTTCTTTTTTTTTTTAAGATTTTTCTTTCACAACACAATTTTAATTGAAAAAGGTGTTTACATTTAGTGTTTTAATTGAAAAAGGTGTTTACATTTAGTGTTTTAATAGCATCTTGAACTGAAATGCTCCCAATAATATTTATATGTGTGTGTAAACCAATTACATTATTTAAAATAACTTGCAGAAATACAAATTTAAGTGAACTCAAATCAACTAAATTTTTTTACTGAAAAAAATAAAAGAATAAAAAATAAATTGAAAATTGCAACAATAAGAAAATCTCAATCAAATTAAGAAAATCTCAAAACATATCGGGGTGGTCAGAAAAAAAATGTTCTTTTAAACTTTAGAAAGATAAGACTTACGACAGGGTGCCTCGCCCATTGAAGAGCTTTTATTTTGAAAAAAAAAAAAAAAAGCTCTAATTAAAAGATTAAGGGGGCCTGGAAGAACACTTGTATAAAACTATCTGGTAAGATAGAAGCGTGGAAGCATCTGTAAAACTATCAAGGACAATAGATCTGATATTCACTATTAATCTAAATGACTTTGAATTAACATTAATGAAGATGAAGAGTTAAAATGATAGAATCATCTATAAAACTATCCAGTAAATGGAATAAGATAGAGTAATCAACTTATTAAAGTATCAGATACTGGGTTTTAAAAAAATAAAACAGAAAAAACTCAAACACAGCACCGAACAGAGAGGCTAACCTGAGTTGAATCGTCTTCTGCAAAGCAAGCTCTTGCTTCACACTCTACGAACAGAAAGCACCAGACAAGCTCTCACACTATCTTGCAGAACTTCAAAATCAGTCTTCAAGGTCTTGGTCTCCTTATTAATTTAATGCTTTTTAAGAAATTAATTAATTAAATAAACGTGACATACAGCTGTGGTCACTTATTATTTTAATGAAATTGTTTGTATTTGATCGAAACCACTTCCTGATTTTTATTTATAATACCATTATTAATAGTTTTTATCAAAAGCGTCTCCCACATTAACAGTTGGCGTATTCGAAACTTAAAAAATGCTAATTAAGTAGAAATGGAATAGACGCGAGAGGCACCGAAAACCTAACTTGCTAGTTATCTAAAATTACTCCTCATGTTCCCTAAAATTATAGCATATTTTTTGTATTACAAAGAATCTTTGAATTTGCCATCAATATAAATAAAAATATTGCTGTCTGAAAATTTTTATTTTATGAAGAAACCTAAATGGTAACTTAATTTCTATATTTGATTTTTTTAATATAATTCATATACATGTGTTTATGTGAATGATATAATTGTATTTTAACTGTTGATCAACGAGATAAGCGGTGAAACTACATTGGGGTGAGGGTGTGCAAATGTGCCACTCACTTTGGAGAAATTTCAAGTGAGGTATATAAATTTTGCATTTGCATCCCCTACCTTCGATATTTTGCATTCTTTGGATTAACTAAAAATTATTTGGGCTCAAAAGCTTGTTAAGTATGTAATATTTTAAGGATCCAATCACATGCAGTATTTTTTGTGAAGTGAATGGGAAGTGGTGTGACCCTAATCGTCCATTCTATCTAATGGTTGGAAAGAGAGAGTAGTACAAAAAATCTTATTATCTGCAAAGTACATAAACTTTTTTCCTATAATAAAAAATTTCTTGACAATTTAAATTATAAATTATTTCATATGGATGGATTATTGTATGAAGTCCCACACATCCAACCACTGTAATTATGAAGTAAGAGTTTTATAATTTAAATTGCGAAGTAGTTTTTTATTGTACACAAGTTTATGTACTTTATAAATGAAAAAAAATTTTTGTGCACCCCTCTCTTCCCAACTATTAGATAGAATGAATGGTTAAGATTACCCCACTTCCACTTCACCAAAAATACTGCATGTGATCCAAATCCGACTTAAGTCATCTGTTCGATCTAAAGAAACCTTTCACCGTACATCAATTAATACCTTTCAAAATAATCTCACAATCCTTTTTTTTTTTTTATAGAAGCGAAACATATTATGTTTACTATTTTTATTTTCGTTTTTTTTTTCAAATATTTTTGAAACCTGCATCGTCAGCATTTTTTTAAGAAAAATTAACAGATAACAGAAAGATTATTGTTGTTATTGATGATGATGATGATGATGATATTGAAAGTCTTGGTCTCCTTAATTTAAAACATAACATAATGTCCCCAGTTATTATTAAATCAACTTGGTTGTAGTATAGAATTTGATCAAATATAGAGGTAGTTTGACTTAAGGGTTTAACAATGATAAATTGTATCAAGCGATCTGGCGTAATGGGCCGCGAGAACAAGATAATGCTGATTATTAGGGTTGGGTAGTGATGTGATTTAGTTTAATGCTAATAATTAGATGCATATTGATGCCAACTCATCTTTGCTATATATATTGCCACTTGATCATTTTATAAATTTTCTTCTTGTCCTCATTTGCTTAAGTTTTTCTTCCCCAGACAAATGTCACTTTAGTCGGCCCAAATATATTCAAGAAAACAAAATATTGTTGAAAACTCATGGATTCATAATAATAATATAATAATGAAAAGAGAAATGGATTACTTCGTCATTGATAAAAGATAAAGCATTATATGCTTTCTTTAATGAAAAGAGACCATGACTAATTGATTAAAATGAAAGGAGACAAAAGATAAATTCTATCAGAAATGAATTGATTAATTCTATTGAAGTAGTAATTTTTCCCTATAAACAGAGTTATTATTGTGTGTGCATGTTTCCTATTACAATACTACTTTGGACTATGCTTATAGCACGGCGTCAGTGGTTACACGTCAATGACTAAATAAAACTAACCCAAAAAAAGAAAAACACACATACAAGTATGACCCTGAACCCTTATACATAAATGGCAGAACTATAACACACCAACATGATTCCTAAAAACACAAGTTGAACAATTTATAACATTTTGCACCTGACAAAGAAAGGAAAGTATTAAGGATCAAAGAAGATAAAATAAAATAAAAAGTAAATTTTTAAAATAAAATACTCCAGTGGAAGAACACTAAAAGAGATTTCTAGGAGCGATATTGTTTAGTTGAAATTGGTTATATAGGACTGACCATTTGTAATCTACCTCAAACAATTGTTGCTGAGCTTTTTTCTGATGTTCCATCATTTCAGTCTTTGCTTTGGTCACGCTATCAAACTCATTCTTGAGCTTTATGATTTCTGCTCCACAATTCTTTTTTTTGTCTTGAAGAGATGATATCTTAGCCTCACAATCTTGTCTTTCGTTCTCCAACATAGTCATATGCTCCTTCAACTTAGCTTCCTTCTCTTGAGTTTCATTTATAAACTTGGGAAACTTGTTGATGGTGGCAAAGGCTGACTTGAAAGAATATAAAATGCTTGGAAAGTCTTGGAGCAAAGACTGTATAGTAGCTTTAAGTTCATGAGATAAATTTTCATCTTCAAAAGAAAGGCGAGACAAGAAGTTGAGAGAAATAAGAAAGCGAAGGCTGTTGGATTCTGAGGTTGCTATGTCCTTAAGAGGCATTTTCAGACAAGCTTGTAAGTCTGCAAGGGCCTTTGCCACAGTTTCATCATCTTCCTCTGTTTGGTTGACCATGCTTTGCTTCTAAATAAGTAAACCAATGAAATTAAGCAATATGTAGAAGTTAAGTTACTGTTTTAATTAATGAATAAGTCATCAAAGTCTTCAACTCCAATTCAAAAAGCTTAATATCAACAAAGTACTAGAATTAGCTCACATGTGAAAATGCTTGAGGAAGGGAACTAATCAATGAACTTTGGGCTGAGCTTTTTGGTTCAAAATTAGTTGATGAAGAACCTTCTTTAGCATTTCCTGATGTAGAACCATCAAAGCTTCCTTTAACATACTGCACTACAACAAAAATGCATTTAAGTTTCAGTCACTGAGCACTTGTATAAGTAAACTAAGGTGCGATTACATTTTTCTTTGATATATTCTCCTCTTCAACTCCCTAGTTTTTGGGCTCTTCAATACTCTATATAGCAAAGAAAAATGAAAATAAATTGCTATCTATGATATTTAATATATGGCAAAGCCATATGTTTAAAGCATTACTTTGATTTTCTCATGAATTTCATTATTACTCATTTCAATTTCTCTAAGATATTGTTGTTGGTTTATCAAAATTGATTCCCTTACCAACCATTTATGCACATACTAATGAATATATAGTCAAAGTAAGAAGGCTTAGCATGAAAAAAACAGCCATTGGTAAATGCTTTTACAAACATACACATAAAACAAAGACGTGAGCTTATCATAGTTATAGTTCATATATAGTTGTCTTATGTAGAAGAAGCACTAAATAATTATGTGGCAACTACTCATTAATCAATTCAGAATATGTTGGTGAAAATGGATTCGTTAAAACTAAGCATTGTTTCCTCTCTTTTTTTATATTATATTTTGTTCCTTTTTTGTCCACTACTAGGCATTGTTTCTTTGAGACAATAATAAGTAACACCAAATCCGACAAGATTAGTTCATATTATGTCATGTATAATAGGAGTATAGGACAAGACATGGCAAGGGTGCAAGACATATATAGATTGAAGATGCATACCATAATTGTGAGGTTTGATGATGAAATCGGCAACATATATAGATTTGTTAGTTCTAACCTATGAAGAAAGATGCCCATTCTTTGATTTAGCCAGAACTTCAATTTCTTTTAAATGATTTGTTTTAGTGGCTTCTTTGCTATAATCTCTACCAGTTTCACTATTATCTTCAAATCCTGATCGCATTGCTTGATGAGTTTGGAAATGGGAAAACTAGTTTAAAGTCCTATGGAAGCACTTTAAATACGCTGAGGTCCCATAAATTTAAGAAATAGCTGCCAGGTCCTTAGGGACCTAAGGGTGAATAAGTCTGAAAGTGAAATTACCCATTTGCCCTCTATTTGAAATATGAAAAATCAGTCTGCTTCCCACTAACCCACGAAACTGAAAATGACTGTGTCTTCCTCATTCTGTCGTGCTCCAGAGCTAATGGCCGAGCACTATTCTCGCGGTCGCATTCTATCGGAGAAGACCGTCACACCGTTAGAGAGTGAAAAACTCGAAGGAGTAAAGAATGAGAGTTGCTCGCTCCTGCTTCAGTGACTCATATTTACCCTAAGCGCCATTATCGGACTGTCTCTATCGTCCTCTGCCGCCATCTCGCCACCACAGGTTCAACTGCTATTGATTATACGTTTTCTTCTACCATTATTCCTTTCTTTGTTCTTTTCTTTGTTTTAGCTGGTATCTCGATTGTGACTTTAATTTTTTGCATCTCCGTTTTCGCACATAACTATAATTCTTTATCTTTGTTTTTTTGCTCGTATGTCGGTTTTCTTCTCACTATAATTCACCGTCTTTGTAATCCTCCTCAGCCTGCACCTGGCCATCCTCAGCAGAATCCCTACGTTTCTTCTTCTCCTCTTTCTTTGCAGTTTCCACCTGATCTGATTCCTTGCCAACATCAGCTTGTAGAGCAGCATCATTGTCCCCACTTCTCTCTTTCTTCTTTTTCTTCTTTTCTTTCTTTTCTTCAGCAATAGGAAGCTCTTGCATTTTCTCATCCACAGACGCACCGTGAAAAGCTTGACCAAGAGTAGAATCAAGTCTACACAAAACAGAAAACTCCAACACATAAAAAAAAAATTGTGGTGCATCCTTTCAGACATAGCAAATGAAGAAAGCCTCCAACTCCCTTCTTCCAATCTTTGTCATAGCTTTCTATCTTTGGCTTTCCTTTAGTTGAACCAACAAGTCTACCTAGTTCACTGCCTTCAAGACTCCTTAGGCGTGCTTCAAGCTGTGTGAAAGTATATATAAGAAATGGTAGCAAGTGACAACAAAAGTAAGAGAACTAACTAGAGAATAGCACAAGCACTTTGGCTTTGTTTTCTAATCCTATTGAATTATGTTGACCAAGTCCAAGAGCATCTTCCATAATCGCCAATGCTGTCTTTACAGCAAGTGATTGAGAAATTTTACCCTTAAAGTTTTGAGCAGCCTGACTAATTAATGATGCATAATAAATAAGCCCATATTTTGGGGTAGCATGCTTAGTCTTTAGGGCCCTAAAGAGAGCCTTTTCAGAACCAAGTGTCTGTACAGTACTCCCTGGCAGCTTTATAAGATTGAGGAAGTTACCACCATGGGCAATAAGGCAAGCATCAACAAGCTTCCCAATAAGAGCAGTCAAATTGGGTGCAATAGTGTTCATCCTGCTCTTAAGATAATCATATAGTTGTGCTCTGTACTCTGAAAGAGATAAAACCTGGTCACACAGTTCTCTAATGTTTATCAAGTCAAGCTTACCAAGTATATTTCTAATATGTTACAAAAGTGTAGCTATGCATGAGATTTTTGTAATTACTTAAGGCGCGTATTTGCATGTTTCAACTTTCAACTACTCCTCTTGCGTTTTATAATTTTATTGTGGTAAGTTTAACTTCCAATTCTGCTTAAAAATATGTAATTTTAAATATGGACGAATTTCTCCATTGACGACAACTGCTTTCTTTATTGACACAGCTATACGCTGTATTAACCAAAATCATTTATTCCATGAATGAAAACTAATTACTTCAATGACTACAACCATAAACTCCATTGACAAAAACAGTATGCTCCATTGACTAGTGAACTGTCATAACTAGTGAACCGTCATGCCTCTGTGACTTGTGTTTTTTTCTTATTAATAAACAATACTAGTACAGAAATCTGAGTTGGAACTTAGTAATGACTAGTATGCATATATCTCTTTTCAACACATGTAATTGAACTTTTCTATTTGTTTTCCAGATAAAGGAAGATGAAAGATAAAGCAAAGACAATAGTGAAGAGATATACTGTACCATTTCATATGCGCTGCTCTCCTAGCCAATTTGGTGAAGTGGCAAAATATGTTAAGAAAGATGAGAAATTACAAAAAAGGGTTGAGAAGCTAAGATTCCATAGGCTTCTTGATGTGTCTTGTAAAAAAATTCAAAGAGATATTTGTGGAGAGTTGATGCGTGCCTTTGACCCCCCAACTCGTGAAATATGCATAAGGGAGAAAATCAAGCAAATGAAGGCCAAGGATGTGAATGACTTGATGAGCTTACATAGTGAGGGTAAGCAGATTACTGGGGATGTCAATGTGAATGATAGAGCTTTTGAGAATTTGAGAAATACTTACTATAAAATGCCTTACAAAGAAATAGCTGAAATAATTATATCTGAAAGGAGGTAGCTAAATTTGAGTTACTTTTTGTAATGTATGCATTGGGAACCTTGCTATTACCAACCGCAAGTCTTGAGGTTAGCGACCGTATATTGAAGGTCGTTTATGAGACACAAAAGAAACCAAGCACATATGATTGGGGTACGTTCATTTTTAATGAACTTTACAAGGAGGTAGAAGACTACAAGAAACAACTGAGCAAAGGGAAGGGAAGGATGAGGAAGAACATTGGGGGATGTATCTACTTTCTAATGGTAAGTGTGTGTTCAATTTACATTAATCCAAAGTGATAGCCTTTCAAAGTTTTCCATGTAAAAGTTTTATGTTTATACTGATTTGTCAAGTTTTTAGGTATGGGGCTTCCAGAATTTTCCAGTTGGCCAAGGTTGTCCAAAAGCCATAGATGCTCTGAAATATTAGGACAATGATAAAGTGAATATAAGAATAAAGTTGGAGAAAAAGAGAAATCGAGGCATCTTGCATGAGCCAACTACTGTACATAGTAGTTCATCTACCAAGGTGTATCAAGAATCGGCATTTGTTCACCCGGTATGTATAAAATAGAGTACAATGGATAGATATATATGGTCTTATTTATGCACTGAGTCAGTAATTGTCTTGCAGGAAGTAAGGAGGCTGTATGAAAAAGTGCTGTCGTTTGTGTCTGACATTGGAGAGGAGTTAATGAGCTTACAATCAATGTTGCTTGGACAAGGCTCAAGAGAGGAAGAAGGTGAAAAATCACAAGAGGAAGAAGATAATGATAAAGGGATAGATTCTGAGGGAAAGAATGAAGATGAAAAAATAGAAGAGGAAGGACTTATTGATGAGGGGACAGCTTTAGAGGAAAAAAATGAAGAAGAAAAATTAGAAGAGGAAGAATATAACGAAGAAGGAGCTGAACAATCAAAAGAGGAAGAGAATGAAGAAGAAAAATTAGAAAAGGAAGAATACAACGAAGAAGGAGCTGAACAATCAAAAGAGGAAGATAATGAAGAAAAAAAATTAGAAGGTGAAGATAAAGAAAAAGATGATGAACAGCGAGGTTCTCCTAAAGAAAAGGGCAACAATGACGATTTAAAAGAGGAAGAGGATAAGGAGGCAGGTGTAGGAGGGAAAGATTCTGTCGAAGACGAGGAAGGGAGAGGAGAAGAACAATCAAGTAAACATCCTAGAAGATCAAAAAGATATAAAAGATCTGCTGTGAAATCTCCATGGGTTAGAACTAATGTTAGAAAGAAGAGAAAAATGGATGAGAAGGAGCAATTATTTCAACTATGCATAACACCATGTGAGGAAGATGAGGGAGACAAGTAAGTCCCTATACTATGCCTAAAAATTGACTGACTAAAATATTAGTGACAATCTATTTAATTTTTCCTTCTTCTTCAACAGGATCATTGTAGATTTGTATAGCTACTACTTGACTCGTTCAAAGCTACAATGTTTTGGTGGAAAGAGATGGATTAGTGACAGGGTGATGTCAATGGTTGCTCAAACTTTGGTAGGTGACCAAAAGGAAAATGAAGGGAAAGTCTGGAGACATATCTTTAGTTCTGAGTTGATGCTAAAAATGATCAGCAACCCTTTGAAATGGACGGTAGATGACAACAAGGGAGAAATATTTCCTGAGTTTGTTGGATATAACATTGCTGATTGTGATTTCATTTTTGGCCCAACCCTTTTCCATAGTCACTGGTTTTGTTATGTCTTTGAGACCAAGAGTAAGAACTTCTATGTGTTAGATTCATTGGTCAGTAAGAGGGAGTATTTCCAAAGACAGCAGGAAGAGGAAGAAGAAGAGAATGTTGAGAAGAAGGGTAAGGGAAAGGAGAAGAAGAAGAAGAAGAAGAAGAAGAAGAAAGGACAACTGGATCCTAAAGAAATGATGGCAAGAGGATGCGTATGTCTATACTTGTCACTCAACATTACCAACATCTATATTTGTCGTTGTCTTCTTGATTAGTTGTAAATTAACATTACTAACATTGAAAGTCTTGAATTTACAGAGGAATTGCTTTCACTCTCTACTTCGTGCAGTCAAGCCACAATTGTTTGAGGATGACATTAGCAAGGACATTATATGGGCTAAAGTTCATGTGCAAACTGATACGTGAGTTCCTTTTATGTTTATACATCATTAAGCTTATATTTACATATGAAAAATTAATTTTACGTTATGTTTTTTATTTTGTTTTTAGCCATACTTGTGGGGTGCACGTTATGACATGGTTATAATTGTGGGACAACACTGTGGATAAGAATGGGTATACGATGCCAAAATACTCTGACATATGCATTCTTTGCTTTACATTTTCCTTCTTTCATGTACTACATATTTGTTGTTGTCCCTTATAAGACTTACTTGTGGTGCAGGATAACCTCTATAAGAAGAAGGTAGAACTCTTGTGGTGGCTACTGAGTCATCATAATAATGTAAAGGAGCCCGAAGCCATGTCCTTGTTAGAAGGATCCCAAGCGACAAGGAAAAGGAAATAGAAGATTTTTTATAGAACCTTAGGATATAATTTTATTGATCATCATATCCCTTTGTATAGTTAGCTCATTTTGTGTAGTTAACTTAGATAACGCTGGTTA